TTCACTGTGTTTGGGGCAGGCCCTGGATGACTATCCCTCAGGTTAGACAGTTTAATCATCCATTCAGCAGTACACAAAGCAGATCACATACACTTTTAGCCTGCATTGTATAGTGTTATGAAACGAGAAGATTATTTGATATGATTCAGAGATAGCTCAGGTATAAGGTAAAAAAAAAATAAAAAATAACACCTTTGATGTTTTACATTACACTTCAGTTATTCCTTGAGGGGCAAATTCTCGTCACCTTACCCAGGTGAATATTGCGCTCAGTAATTTTGGTCAAAAACATTCCATCAACTTTCTTTTTAATAGAAAATGTTGAGGGGGGGAACAGGGGCGGGGATTCAGCTTGATGGAGATTTCTGCCAAACAGGACAAAAAAGAAAAGGCAAATCCATGTTTTCCTTCTTTCAGCAATCAGAAAAAAAAAATGTAATAAAAATTAGTTTTGAAGGGATTTTCTAACAGGGCAATAAAACTAGTCTTTTTACTCTCCAAAAGCTAAGGAGAAATAACAATTTCCCAATGATTGCAGTCTCCATCTGACACAACTATTTCTAGCTGAGGTGTCAGCCATTCATGGACTATCAGCCAGGTCTGATTCTCATCTTGACTCTCTTTTGGTCAAGCTACAAAATGAGTCTTTTTCCCTCTTATTTTGTGTGCCATCAGAACCAGACTGACAGGACCAGTTTCCATTTTTGAGCTGGGCAGAATTTAGGTACATCGCACTCAGAGCCAGGTGAGATCTGCAGGGTTTGTAGGGCCTTATCTCAAGAAGTCTGATGAAGATTTTTTTTTTTTTATCTCCAGAAATACAGAGAGGGCAAGGGCAGGGATACTTGTATTTTCCTAGAACATCGATTTCCTAGTATCATTCGAACTATTCCTAAAAAATTTTGTGAAAAATCACCTTTGATCAGCATTTAAAAAAAATAAAAAAAGGCAGTAAAACCTTCTTTACAGGCACAACACACTGTGGCCAAATTCCACGGACTTGGTGAGCGACAGGGCAAATCAAAGGCTCCACCTTCAGAGGAGAAGCAAACCACAATCCATGGCCAGTGGCAGTAATTGAAGCCCCACTTCTAAAGGAGTTGGCGGGCGATGAAACCCAGTGCGGATGGCTCCGTTCTGCCTCTGGAATCCCCTCCCACCGCCTCGCAACGCCGCTGCTGCTGGGGGTGGGGGGTTTAACTTTACTGGCACCAGAGTTGCCTTTGTTGATGGGAGCTGGGTCTCCTCTAGGGGACTGGGCTGATCCAGCTGTACTGGCAGAGCCTTTGTACTGCGGAGCAGCTCAAGTGCAGACCTGCAGTGGGTGCCTGCCCCAACCTCTGCTGGCAGCTCGATAAGGCCAGCGCCGAGCGGAGTTAAACGACCCCGTGCTGGAGAAGTGCCACACGTAGGAGCCAGCAAGCATCTGTGTTACTGATCCAGCGCATCTCTGGAAATGCCTCTGGACTGTGCTTCTCTTCAAGCGGGGAGTGCCTTTTTTAGGAGCTGTGTGTGCTGGGAGTGGTGCGGAGGTAGCGGGCAGCTGGATTTGCAGGCATCGGCACAAGCGTGGTTTCACGGAGAGTGCCACAGCTGGGGAGGCACCTCTCTAAATGCTTCAAAAGAGTGGAGAAAACGAGCAAAGATGAGATTTCTTGTGATGCTTAACTTTAGTGACCAGCAGCTGGGATCTGTGGGCTACCTGCTAATCTGCATGAAATCATTGCTCCCCTAAAGCCAGACGTTCTGTGAAGAACATATTTTATGGGGTGATCCCCAAGGCTGCCAGAGCAGAGAGGATGAAGGCCTGAGGTTTGAGCCTTTTTCCCAAGGAAGGACAATTCTCGGCTGACTTCCCTGGGAGTGGGCTATGCCCGGGGCTTCTGGGCCATCATCTGACCCGGGCTGGGGAGAGGCTCATTGTCATGGAGAACTGCCCGATCCAGGCATGGCCTTGGCATTTATAGGGGAGTGGGGACTCTCAGGGTGGGACAGCAGGCTAATTGCCTTTGTCTCCCCCCTCCTTCAATCGGGGAGTCTCAGTAAATCCCTAAACCCATGACAAAAGCCCTGCTGCTTTTAAATGCCTTTCATTAAACTCAATCCTCTTGCCCTCTCTCTCCCAAGATTTGCTAAAAAGAAGTCTCTGTCAGTGGCAGGAGGAAACCTAAAAGGCTGCATTAGCTCATTCACTGTCCCCTCTGCAGTGTGCAGGGTGCCTATTTGCTGAAATCTCCTCTCAAGTGTCCCTTGAGCACTCCAGGGGCAGCTCCTCTGCAGGAGGGGCCACATTCCCTGGTTCCAGCTAAGGATATGCTTTCCCTGGAGGAAGCAGGGTTTGGTGCCTGTGGCTGGACAGGTGCACTGGGGACAGTCAGACCTGCCAAAGCCTCTCTTGAACCCACCACCATCCCTCAGGACCAGGGCTGGAGCACTGTGCTGGGTGAGCCCTTATCTGATTGTGCTCTGGCAGGTTCTGGCTATGCCCCTGCCAACTGAAGTGGCACAAAGCTTGTTGAGCCATGGGATATTGCTGAGGACATACTGCCAGGTGCTAGCCACCCTCCAATACAAATTTGTCAGATTTAGGATCCTCAGGAGCAAAAGTTTATGGGTATTGTGCAGAAACATAGAGCTGATGGAAGTGGCAAAGTGAATTTGCCATTGGGTCTGCATCCTCAAACATTTAGGGGTAATGCCTGCAGTAACACAGCTGATGGAAGAGGGTAAATTAAAAAAATCTGAGTGGAAGAACATGAGCTGGACACAAACGAGTGTCCTGCATTGGCTCAACACTTGCTAAGGTCTGAGAGCAGGCTGGCAGAGGGGAGAAAGGATTGAAGTGGTCACTTAGATACACAAGTGGGCAGGTCCTGACTTACTCATCTTTCAGAGGTATTGGGAATCCCTCCACTGCTTTTAGCTCAAACTCAGCAGTCCAAAATCCAAATAAAGCTATTCCACACCTGGTGGGATTGAAGCAGGACATGACTGACCACCTTGTCCTTTTCCTAGTGTTAGTCTGCCCTTTCCCTCCCATTATCGCTGCCACTGCATCACCTGAGATGGAATTAAAATCAGGAGGAATTACCCCTAAAGCCAGGAAGATGGTATCTGTGCTGGGAAGGGGCGAGGGGGAGGGGGGAGAGGCAGGACTTGCCACCCGCCCACTGGTCCCAGCGATTGCACAAAGGGTGGTTGGCCAGTGCCGGGGCAAGTACTTGGTCCCGATCCCAAGCACATGGAAGTCATCTGATGTTTCGTCATGGCTTCATTATATTTTGGATCAGGCCAGCGGTTTGTCTTGCATCACTGCCCTGTATGTTCTGCAGGTAGCCAGTGCAGAGGCGCTGCCAACTATTTCGTTTTCTGAATACCCTGCAGGGACGGCCTTAAATCACGGCAGATGCCCGTATGTTAAACAGCTGCAATTTCATGCTTAACTTCGTTGTGCATGCTACATTCCTCATGAAGACACTTAACATTTATGCTCTAACTGCACACAGCCCCAAACACACAGCTCGTGGAAAGGGCAGGAATGAGGGGTTGATTGTTTAGCCTAATGGCTACTGGATGATGGATTCTCCTTTCCCAGCAGCAGGAAATCAGGAAGGATTCCCAGAGGCACTGTCTGGCCCTCTAGCTGACTGGTGCCACCTCTTCACTGGCCGACAGCGTGAGCAGATGCAATCCCATTAGAGAAACCGATTTGCAAAACGGACCGAGGCTCCTGCTAGCTGGCACAGCGCTGGAACCAGTCCCGCCTCTCTTACTGTTGCAAGTTTGTATTTTTTTTACTAAACCGGGCTGAAAAAGGCCAGTTGTGATTCAGATCGTTGAGAAAAACAAACAAAAACGAAAGAGTGCCCACTCTGCACAGCGAGACTCCAAGAAACTGCAAACCAGCTCAGATGTGTCTCCTTCAGGAGCAAAGCAGGTTTCTCTCCACCCTACTGTGCAGATGAAATAATTCATAAATTTTTACACCTTTTATCCCAAATGGTGGGAAAGAAAAACCTGTCTCGTGCAGAGCTTTAAAATACTTCAAATATACTGATGAACAACCAGGCCAATATATAACAATTGTTAATATTTTATTCCCAACAGTTGTTCAGCCTGAAAAGTTTCAGTAATACACTAAAAACGAAAACAAAACCAACAAAAAATTCAAAACAAATAAAACAACAAAAAGGGGGGAAAAAAGTAAAATAAACTTTAACAAAGTTTAAAACACATTATAAATAAGTACAGCTCCAGAGCATAATTTACAAATATAAAACCACATAGAAACGTATGTACAGAAGAGTTACATTACGTACAAATATGTATAAAAATACCCCAGTGTTTATTCTTGTGCTAAAGCTGCATGGCTAGAGTTATCTTTGGTACTAAGCTCGGGGAAAGAAGATTGTTTTACAGGACACAGCCCTGCTGTACAATATGCCAGACACAGGAAGACCCTCTGTGGGTTTGGGGAGGTTTGGGGTGGGTTTTTACACAGGGTATCCCCCCGTGCACTGCATATTGCAGATCAGGGCACAAGCAAGGGCTTACAGAGGCAATTGCTGGCAGAAGAGTTTTTTTAATACATTGTACAAGGCACTTCATAAGAAATCTCTTCATTTTTTCTTTTCCTGCTCTCTTCTAAGACTCACTGGATGTCTACGCTTGGCTTTTGCCAATACCACTTTATGGCTATGGTTTTTTAACTTCTTGCTCTACATTCAGGATTAGAAACCTCTGAAAACATTAATTCAGTTCACGCTTGCAGAATTTAGATGGCAAGCCACCTACATGACCTAATGTTTTCCTGGATGGGGAGAAAACTTTGCATCTGCCTTCTGCTGGTGCTTAAGGGGTGTTCTTATTTTGAAAGGTGAGAAGATGAGTCTTCCTGGAGGAACTCCTGGGAAGTGTCCACGTTGAAATGCTGTTTGCAAAAGCGCACGGTCCAACTCCCATTCCCTTTGCAGCACTGGCCGGCTGGCTGCCCCAGCACCCTACACCTCTGTCCCATCCCGTGTGTAGATGAGGCTGTTGACTGTGAAGTTGTAGTAGTGGTTGTACTGGGCTCCCTGGCTGCCACTGCTGGGGTGGAAGGAGCTGTAGTAGGCGGGGGAAGGTCCCGCGACCCGTTGCAGCTGGTCTGGGGAAGGCACCTCCTGAGAAGAGCTGCTGGAAGGGGTGAAAGTGCCACTGCTCAGCTGTCCAGCAGAGAAGTTCCTGTGGTGCAGGTCACTGCTGAGACCCCCCGTCAGCCGGCTGCCTCCGCCGCTCAGGGAGCTCATGCCGCTGAAGAAGGTGCTGAGACAGCTAGGGGTGGATGAAATGATACCGGAGGGAGAGGAGCTTTTGGGATGGTCCCTGGCAGAGGGTGAGGGGTCCAGCTCTGGGGGTGGGCTGTTTCCACATGGTTTGCCTGTGGCTGGGATGGGTCGCTCTTCCTCGGCCTTCAGGCCCCCCAGAGAGGAGGCCGCAGAGGCGGTCGCAGGGGCGTTGGGCTCAGAGCGCCGCTTGCGTTTGCGACGGAAGTTCCCATTGTCAAACATCTTCTCACAGTTGGGATCTAAGGTCCAGTAGTTCCCTTTCCCTGGTGGAAAACAGGAGACACAAGAGAGAACGTCAACTTCTGCGACAGCATCCATGTCTTGTCCACCTGGCACAGAACCCACACCTCTCCTGCACCTGTTCCTCCTCCCTCTGTTGTCCAGTACATGGGATCCAAAACCTGTCTCCAGGACATTCCCACCTCCATCCCTCCAATGCCCTTAAGTGAACCTTAAGGCCACACAGAAGAGGAGAACCTCCCCTTCCCAAAGCACAAACGGATCTGCAGCACTATCTCAGACCTGGCCAAAGAGAACGTGAAGAGGGGCTCCCCTTGCACTGGCTACCTCACAGAAGCTGTGGCACTTGCAGCCATCTCAGCACTGGGTGACAAGGCAGTGCCTGGGCCATGGCTCATAGAAAAGCTGATGGAGAGGAGGGCAGGCACACTTGGGCACACCGAGGGAACTGCAGCAAGCAGCACCGAGCTGACCTCGCACAAGCCTTGGTGGCATCAGCTGTCCCCACTAGCCTCCTGCCCACGGCCGGGACCGGTGCAGTGACCCCAGAACGTCCCGAGCGGCTCCAGCCCGGCACGTCCTGGTCCCGGCGGGCCGGACCAGCGCTGCCCGGGCGCGCCTCCGCCCACCCCCGGGCACCGGCTGTGCCCCGGGACCGGCCCGGACAGCGGCGGGCAGGGAGGGGAGCCGTGAATCACGGGACGAAGGAGCCGGGCCTTGCACAACCGGCGCTCCCGGGCTGCTCAGAGAGGGGGCGAGGGCTGGGGCCGCCTACACCTCGGCGGGGCAGCGCCGGGTCTGGCTGGAGCGAAAGGGGACGGTCACATCACAGCGCCCGGGTCAGGGCACGGGGGAGCGCGGTCTCATCATAGCATCCGACTAGAAGGGATGGATAAACCCGGTCTCATCATAGCACTGGCCCCGAGGGGACGGAGAGCGCGGTGTCAGGACAGCCCCCGACTTAGAAGGGGACAGCGGCTGTCGTCCCTCTCTCACGGCGGTGCCGGTGTCCGCACCCCACCCACCGGTCCCCGCTGCCCAGCCATCCCTCCCGCCCGGCGCGGCATCTCACCGGGGTCGTCCTCGTCGCGGGGCACCTTGCGGAAGCAGTCGTTGAGGCTGAGATTGTGGCGGATGCTGTTCTGCCACCCGGCTTTGCTGCGTTTGTAGAAGGGGAAGTTCTCGGCCACGTACTGGTAGATGTGGCTGAGGGTGAGCTTCCTCTCGGGAGCGCTCTGGATGGCCATGGCGATCAGCGCCGAGTACGAGTAGGGCGGCCGCACCAGCTTGAGCAGCTCCTCCTGGCTGGCCAGGCTCAGCCAGCTCAGCTCCGCGCCCCCCGCCGACGGCGAGCCGGGCGCCGGGGGCGAGCCCACGAGCTGTCCGCCCCGCGAGCAGCCGTACGAGGCGGGCGGCAGGAAGGGCGCGGCGGCGGCGGCGGCGGCGGCGGCGCCGGGCGGGCCCTGCAGGTAGGGCGCGGGGCTGTTCATGCCCCACAGGTAGCCGGCGTTGGCGGGCGCCCCGTAGTCCCCCAGCGCGTACCCGCCCGCCCGCTGCCCCGAGGAGGCGGCGGCGGCGGCAGCGGCGGCGGCGGCCGCGGCGGCGGCGGCGGCGGCGCCGGGCGGGTGAAGGCTGGGCTGGGGGTAGACGCTGAAGTTCTCGCTGCAGTACACGGCCATGTCGGGGGCTTCCTGGGCGCTGCGGGGCTGCGGGGGCGCGGGGGCGGCCGCCGGCGCCGAGGCTCTGGGCTGCGCCTGCTGCAACTCACCGGCGCTCATAATCCCTGGCCATGCAGGGCGGCCGGCGCTCCCCCCCGCTCCCGTCCTCTCCCGGCGACACCCCCCGCCCCGCGGCCCCGGTGGCCCTACACCAAAAACTCCCGGGGGGCTGCGGCGCGGCGCCCTTATAGGCGCTGCCGTGCGCCCGGACTCCCCGCCCGCGGCCGGGGCCGGGGCTGGGCGGGCGGCGGCGGCGCGCAGGGAGCAGCCAGTAGCGCGGCTCGGCGGCGGCCGGGGAGGCGGAGGGGGGCAAGGCCGGGCCCCGAGAGCGGCGATGGGGGAGGGACCGGCGGGAGAGCTGCGGGAGGCGCCAGGGATTTGGCTCCCGGCAGCGCGGGGGCAGCATCCCCGAGCTGGACCCGCCCCCCGTGCTCTGCCCCCCCTCCCCGACCCGGGGGTCTCTCCCGACGCTGCCCGGTCGCCCCGGCAGCGGCCGCCCCCTGCCCGGAGCTGTCCGCGCTGCCCCTGCCATCCTGCTTTCCCCACGGATGCCATCGTCCCCGATCCCTTCGGCCCCGACGCTGAGGGCGGAGCGGGATGAGCATCGCTGAGGTTCCCCCGACGGGAACGCCAAGGGAGGAATTCGCTTAAACTCTGTTCTTGAAGTGCAGTTTTGCCTCCCGTCTCTCAACAGCCGGGGCTGAGATGGCAGTTCATTAGCTCTGGATAAGGAATTGCTTTGTGTAAGGAATTGCCCGAAATTAAACAAACACCACCGGCGTCTTCGCTCGTACCTCGGGCGGACCGGGCTGGAGGGCGCGGGGAGAGATTTAGCGAATAAAAGTTATTTTCGCCTTAGTTCTTCTGGGCAGCCTGAAGGAAAGCGCATCCTTTTGCAGAGAAAAAGCTCTCGGTGTTCATACCGACCCCGACAGCCGGGATCTACACAGGGGCCAGATCCGGCAAATCTTTTGGTCCGAGGCAAAGCACACGTGTAACAACAAAAATATGGTCAGTGATGCGGGAGGATTTAGAGACTTTGTCTAAATACCAGATACATGAGATGTTCATGTCATCCCCCGTTCTTAAATAGAGTTGTTACTCAGTTTTCTGTTGGTAAAAATGCCAAAAAATGCCCTTTCCTGGTGTATACACGAAGTGCTCTCTGCAAGCGCCGGGTGTCTTGGTCTGACAACAGGATTTGGGGCAGAGAGGAGCTTTGGGAAAAGTCTGCATTTTATGTCTTCCATAAAATAGTTATAAAAGCACATGTAAACCAGTGAAACTTTCCCGAGCTGACTCCAACCCCAAATTTTCATCCCGTGTGATTTGAGCCAGGATATAATAGACGACGGATTTTCAACTTTGTATTTAGTTTTAAAACAAGTGAACAAGCATTTTTTGAGTAACTTTAAAGTGACTGGGTTAAAGATTTAGGATTTGGGGTTTTCTCCTTTAATCATAAAGAGAGGTGTTTGGGGGGTTTGTTAGGGTTTTTTTGTTTTCTTGGGTTTTTGTGTGTGTGCGTGTGGTTTTTTTTTTCTTTTTCTGTTGTTATTTTGTTGCCGTCACTGTTGCTGTTGCTGATTTTATTTTGCATCCCTTGGGGAAAGAGCTTTCCGTGTGTATTTGGATACCCAGAACAGCAGGAGAAAAGTTTACATTACGTTCCACAAGGTGTCTTTTCCCTTCTCAGCTTCCTTCTCTTTAAGATTTATAACAACTCCTCATCTTTTTTAGAGCAGGGTCATGCCGGAAAATGCCGGTTTGAAGTCTGACGGGACAGCAGGCATCCAAACTAAGCAGTTTACGGGGAAATCACAGCTAGAAAGGACATTTAAAAGACAAGAAACAGGTAGACTTTAAAAAGCAATTCCCCTCTGACTCTGAAGAGCTAAGCCGAAAATATTATTCTCTAAAATGACAACAAATCTGTATTTTCCGTTTGGCCGAAACCCGCGCGATCACTGCAGGAGGGAGAGGAGCAGTCAGTGGTATCGCTGTATCGCTCGAAATTGAGGTTTTTGCTCCAGGGATTTGATGTTCTTGGGCAAAGGCAGAGCCATCTAGAGGAACAGTCCGGCTATGGCGAGGCAGGGAAGGCAGTTTCTCTCACAGGCATGGGGTGCTGCCTTCGAGCTTCCCTTAGCTGATTTCTCTGCCTCCAACAAAGGAAGCGGGTTAGAAAATAATGCTGAATTAGCTCTAATAAAAATGCGTGTCCTCAGAAAACTCCAGCTTGCTTTACCAAATAATAAGGAATGTGAAACAAAAATAGCTTTAGAGAGGTTATTACATAGCTGGGATGGCATGGATATGCAAACCAACACTTAATTTAAAGAGTGGAGAGAATAAAGCTTTGATGGTATGATGGCTGTAAAAACATTTAATTTTCCTAATGCATTTATCCTGCAAGTAGCATGCAGGGTTGCCTCGAAACATCATCAGCTCTCAGTACAGACCTGTTGCTTCTCCCTTCTGCCAAGACATGAGGAGAGCATGAAGAGATCCAGCACTCTGCCTCTTCTTTCTAAATGCTGCTTTTTTTCCAGAGACCTCTGGGAGATGTTTGCCTTGAAGAAATGCATTGGGGAGCTGGCAAGAGATGACGAAGCACAAAACTGAAATCAGTTTCAAGGTAGGAGTCTGAGGCTACTGTCCATCACTGGGAGCAGATTTAGGGCTGGGTTTCAGCAGCTTTGCTGGCTCTGTGAGTGGGCAGTGAAGTGTGCTGGGTAGAGGAGCCCGTGGCACCTCGAGTTGGGCTGAGCTGTAAGCCCAGTCAGCTGTGATTAAGTGCAAACCTCTCCAGCTAGCTGCCTTGGAGAGTGTTTCAATGCTTCCCAAGTGCTGCAGTAGAGCAAGATCTTCCCCGTCCTTGCCTGCTGCTGTCCCTGCTGTTGTCTTAGGTGCTGTGCCTGTCCTTGTCGTGCACACAGCAAGCACTTTTCCCCGTGCAGGAAGACACGGGCTGTGCCTGAGGCTCTGCTCCTCTGAACATGTAGGTACAGGCTCCGCTTTTCTGGTGTGGATCTCAGGTGTGTGTGCAGCTGAACATGGAAACCCAAAAATGCTTCAGACCTGAGTGCCCAGCCCAGCAGTGGGAACAGACACCTGCACCCACCTGGACCTCTCTCCATTTCCTAAGGATGCTGAGCTCTAGGCACAGGGCATGTCTTGGGGGAACAGAACACAATAGCCCATATTGGCTTTACCAGGAGGATAGTGAAACCAGGATCCCTTCAATGGCCCCAGATTTCTGCAGGTTTGTTTTGTTTTGGCTGCATTTGCAATCCAAGTGTTGCTTTTTCCCCAGGGCTGGCAAGGAGCAAGGTGGTAACCCCATGGTCCACATTAAATCTGCTCAGTAAAAATTGTTTTATATCTTTCTCCAGAGTGATCAGTGAAATTGAGAATTTCAGAGACAAGATGGAAAAATTCTCTTTTCTCTTGAAGTACTCCACACTCAAGAACAATAAGGAATTTACTAAGAGCATCTCAAATTAAATTAAAGATCTAGTATCCCTCTCTTCCTTAGAGCCAAGGATATTCCTCCCTATTAATATGGTATAAGAACATCTCTTCTTTTTTTCATTCAACCCCTGATTTGTCCTGCAAATGGCTAACAGACAATATTTGATGGTGTGTGATAGATGTTTCACTGCTGTGAATTTGGGAAAGGTGTTCTGTGTACATGTACACAGGTTAAAGTAATTTTTATCCCTTACCTAAGGAGAATAATGTATATTCCTCCCTCTCTGTATCTAGTCATTTATTGGACTGAAGTTCTGGTGATCTAACTTTGCCACCTTATGATAAGATCAGAGGTTTTCAAACCTTCTCTTGATTTTTCAGACTCTATGATGTGTCCTAGGCAGCTGTCCTCATCCCACGATGTTCAGGCTACCAACAACAGTCTTGGTTTGGTTTTGAGTTCACGGTCTCTGTTAAACTCTGCAGGCTGCAAACTGAGGGTTAACATTTTGGATTATTTATATTAATATTTTCTCAGTGTAATTCCACGCTGCTGAGTGTCATGGAGCTCTTGAACCTGGCCACAAAGCAAGGAAGAAATCATAGTTCATCACAAGTTGTAGCTGCTGCAGCACTTCAGGCTGCTGGGAGCAAACACCAAGACTGAAAGGAACAGTGTCTGCTCTATGTCCCCTTCTCGCTGTTTCTTTATGGCTGCTGTGCTCACCCAACTTTCTGTGGCTGACTGGGGCACTAATCCAGTTTGAGAACACCCTCTTCCCAATCCTTTTTTTCCCCCTTTTTCTTATCCCCTCAGGTTAGCTTTAGCTTTAGCCTAGCCCCTTCCTGAGTGAGAGCTTGTTAGCGACTGATTAGCCGAAGTTTTGATAAAAGCTTCATTGTTTGTAACCCCTGTAAACTACCCGGAGCTGTGCTCCTAATAAAAGTGGGATTAAATAGACACCTTGGGAGTGAGACAGTTGCAAGTGGGAATTTCAGTTTTGAGGGACTCAGTGATGTGGCCAGGCTTCAGTAACTCTGTGTATCTGAAGCGATTTTACCAAAATTGGGAAAGAAGCCTGACTTTAGTGGTTTGGGGGGAAAAGGAACTTGGTGGGAGACAGAAGGAAGTCACCTGTTTGTGGCTGGATTAAGCACACGCTCCAGGGGTTTGGAAACACGTTTGCAGAAGTTCTCAGCACCCTGCATTCCTCCAGCCTCTCCTCAGGCTTAAGATTCATAAAAAGTATTTTAAAATCCTCACTCTGATCACACAAATTTTACCCTTCCTCATTTTATTTTTGCAATGGTAAAAAAGTCCACTTGGCAGTGAGGTGTGCCTGACTTGGTTCTATTGGGTTGTGTCTTTTCTGGGAGGAATGTTGAGCAAGGGGATTCTTCCCTCCTGCCTAAAGCAAGAAATTGACCTGGGCTGAAATAAAGGATCTCTGTGCTTTTAAAATGTTTTTTTGTGTGTAATGGGATATTTGAACTAGAGCTTGGGCTGGTTATTCTATAGTGATGACTCCTATAGGGTAAGGTAAAGGCCAAAGTCTTTTGGTCCTAATTCATCTGAATAAGCCACC